AGAATAGAAATGAGGTATCTAGTGATGGTTACTTCGCCAACATCATCAGCTCTGGCGAATGCCGACATTTCTGCATAACCGATATGGGAGGAACCCTGACCTCGTATGAGAGAGTTGATAACCATGTAATACCTGGGATTACACTAGACTTACACCTCAGAGAGAACCAACATGTCATTGCGCATGTTATTGACGGAAAGTATATGACAGCAATGGCATGGGAGGAAGGTGGTACAGTGCAAATTCTGTACCAAGGAGTGATTGAGGGCGGAAAGTTGATGAAATTCCAATGGATCCAGGTCAAAGATTGGAATCGATTGCCGAAAAGTTTGGGTGCTTCATTACAAAGGTTGACGATGCCAACAGCTACATTCTTTTTTGGAATTGGTGAAAACTGTATTGGATCGACTAATTACTACGATGATGTTTGGCATGAGTACAAGTTGGAACAATACTTTGGATGCAGTGTCAAGTCAATAGCACTACACGCTCAAATTCTGATGTTTGGTCTGGAAGATGGGTCTATCCATTTGCTTCATATTCCTCACTATGGCCATGTAAGGAAGTTGAAAAAGAGGATAAAGCAATCAAAGAAAATTCAGGTTGATACAGAGCCGATAGTTGATATAACCATTTTGGAAGTTGACAAGAAACCTTGCATTGTTGCACTCACTCATCAAAAAGTTCATTTGATTAATTTCTTTTAGATTATAATGTTGACCTTTTTGTTGTTATTAAACGGTATTTTAAAGTAAAAATAACGAAACTTCTTTTTTTATATTTGATGTGGTGGCGTTTGACGTTTATCTCGCCTGGTAGTAAGCGATGATGCGGCCTACGATGGAACATGTCATCCCATAAGCAACCTATTCACTCGGGCCTTGAAGACTCCCAGGTTATACCCTTCAAGAAATACAGAATCTGGCAAGGAATTCCACTCTTTAGCAGTACGTACAAGGAAGCTGAAATTAAAGCGAAGCGTTTCGTGAGTGTGGGTGGAAAATCTACCATGAATCTTCTATCCCTAAAACTTAATATCATATTATGACTTGTCAATCTTCGATTAAAGAAATGAACCACGGATTCATTGGTTATTGTGTCTGTTATTATAGAGTAATACCTACTATGATTAACAACAGTGATGAGAAGGAAATAGAACATAAAAGGAAAAAATAATCGGCGATTTCTTTACAGGAAAATAATTGGGTTAACTTCGCCTAAAAATACGATATAGCACCCGGTAAATAGATTTACACACACATTTTTATAAAATGGGTTTTAAAACAAAGCCAAACGACAAATTAATAAATTCTGTAGATTTTTAGTCGTTAAGCATTGCCAGGCTTTCTTTAGTTTACATGCAACCTACATTGTAACAATATACATTCAATCCATTGAAGAACCAATTTAAATGATTTCCAAGAATTTGTTAACAGGAAAACCGATGTCCGCTGTTCCCAGCAGTTGAACCTAGCTACGATCAGGCAACACCATACGATTAGTTATATTAATAGTTACTTATAATAATAAGTAACTAAGAGCTATCAATATAATACAGTGTAGACAGAAATCTATCAACGTTTCAATGCATTTTACGAAACAATATTTCGCCACTGTTAAATTATCATGCCCTAACTTCGTCGCGTGCGCATATTTTCGCGTGCCGTCGCCATTGTGGTGGCTGTGCTACGCGATTTGAATGCTCATGCGCTTTGGTGTTGTTAGATGACATACGGAACTCATTTTTGAACGGACTCGTTATAAATTTAAGGCTATTGGCCAGTGAAAATATTTTTCTTAAGTCATCAAGGATTAATTAAGGTGACAAGTAGACAAAGCGCTGGACTGTTCCAAATCAAAACTAAGTAAAGTACTCTAACCGAAATGAATATTTGGTTAAATAATTGGTCCTCCAATTCCCTACATCCTGAACATTGACGCCGTGACACCAAGTAAGCCAATGTTGTTTTCGCTTCTCTTCTTCAACTTTCATTCCGTATGTTTTCATCAAAAACCCACCCCACGTGAGGTACACACAGCTACCGTTGTTGCGTTGCCATCGTTGCGAAAACAAAACCGTAGCATTTTCATTCAGAGCACTCTCCTTCGCGAAATTAAGAAAGTGTTATTTTATTTATTATTCCTTTCTTTTCCATAACACTTCCCCGTGTCGACTGTGTTAAACCAATGAAAGTTAAGGATGTAGATTCTGAAAACAGAGACTTCACTTTCTATTACATAAAAAAGTTATAACTACAGTATTTTTGACGACATTTGGAACCTCTTAGAACTTACTTAACTACGTTGGCGAACAACCAGTAACAGTATATCAAAACAACAGTATATCAAATAATAATGATAAGTCATCCATAGTTTCCAATTTACCGGTCCACAGCAACCCATCCTTAACCCTACGTTTTGTTTCCATTATCCACAATAGTTCTACACTAACCAGGGACTGTCGTTGGGTGCAATTCCATAGTGCATACAGGGATAGTCACCGGTTTGTGTGTCCATTACATTGAGATTGAAGTTGTGTTAAGGGCCTCTGCGCAGTTGGCTTCCGCCTTTCGTACGCCTCCCAAATGACCGGAACCCTGTGCTCCCGTGAATGGTAACGACATACATAATAATAATAGTTTATTTACCACCAAACATAGATAGATAGATAGATGATTCATGATGGTATCAATAAAAACTCTCAGAATGTATGTACTTAAGAATTATATTAAGTACTACGGTGGCGCTCTATAGCTCTACAACCCCTAAGGCAAAGATGCAACGTATGTAACCACGTTTGTTAAGTGAATAAGTATTAACAGGTGTTTGTAGTCTGCTTCCAAACTATGATTTCATCGTATTGCAGAATATAAGCACGTATTTCACATAAAACCATAATTCTACTCTCAACTTCCGACGACCACCCAACGCGACACAAGCGACACTTTTTTGCAAAAGCAAAATTAAATGACAGTTTCTTATTAGGTAGTCATTTTTATGTCATCAGTGTGGCCTATCTCCATCATAGGTTGAATAGGTTGCTTATAGGACTACGTGCTCCGTGCCGGAGTGATACCACGGCCTCACAGAAAACGTGACGTGAAACAACGTTTGCGTTTTGTTTCGTTCCGAATACTCCATAATCCTCAAATTCCCAATTCCCAAAAGGCCGATACCGAACTTGTAACGCCTTATTATTCCAGGTGTCCATGGGCGACGCCGATTGCTTACCATCAGGTGATCCGTCGGCTCGTTTACCGGCTTATGCCATAAAAAAACCAAGTCTTGATATCGATATTTGAGATTGAACATAATGAATTGCATGATGTATGACTTATCCGCAAAACTGTATTATCTGGTTCGTAACGTTCTCCTCGTATTCAAGGTTGGAGATTTTAGCAGCCTCTCGTCAATGGGACGGAGCTCCTGCTAAGTGTAAGGTCACGACTGCAGATCGAGCGTGCTCAGAAACTTTAGGCTTTTAATAAGAATCTCGAATTAGCTACCTACATGTATGTACTCGCATGATAGTGCACTCACAAACTTATAACTACCTATCTATCTCTATCTTTGATCAGGCGTAAAAGTATAATCAAATGTGTAGGCTTCAGGATAATCAGACGATGAAGAAGAACTATCTTACAGTTACAAGGAGTAGAAGGAACGGGGAAGATTTTAGTCAGTAACAGGCGGTCTCCCGCCTTGGGAGGCGAGGGAGTGTGTGCTTGACTTCTCAGTCATTTGTTGATTTCCCCCCTCCAAAAAGGCTTCAGAATATTTTAAGCATTTTGTTCCTTGCGGGATCCGATCAACAAAAAGATTTCGAGCAACCGATAGTCTATGTCAATCATTCATATTATGACTTTGACTTCGCTAGTTACCTGATTGCATAAGTATGCATAGGTAACACGTATGATTCAACATTACAAAACATTCTTACTATTAGTGTCCCAGGTACAGGTACCCAAGCATTTATTGCCGGATTTATTGCTTCTACCGACTCCAATACTCATTCAGAATAAAATTAACGAAGGGCCTCCGCCTTATTCAGGCTAATTTTAGCTATCAAGCAGACAATCACGATATTACCATTACACATTAACGATGGTAGGAAGACAATATTTCTATGAGCATACCTATTTAAGTAATGCAACCATGTGTGTTGAATCGAAATTGCATAGCAAGGAATATAACGACACCAAATTTGTAAAGAAACCCATTGTAGCCACAGAGGGCAGTCGATTGTCAATCGACATTCGTTTTCCATAATTGAACAACGTCTATTGGTCATCGCACGTCGCCGCCATTCATAAATTAGTATGCGAACCGCGTCTCCCGCCAAAGACATTCGTGCCGCGCCCAACTCCTCAATAGAAAGAATCATGATGAAGGAATTTATGTTCGGTTTGTGTACGCGACAGCGTATGATAAACGATGAATAAATAATAAGCGTTTCTAGGTACGACGACAGATACCTGATCGGGTTTTACTGCAAGACTGGTTGGCTTTACACATTTATTTTATAGTATGCAATGTACCTATTCTTCTTCTAATGTTCAAGTCACGGCAGTCAGAAACTAACAAGCTAAATATCTATTTTACGTAAATTAACAATAAACTAGCAATTTGTAGTTTATACAGCTAAGATCGTAAATTGGATCTAAAAAAACAATAAAATAGTCGTGGTTCGTAACGATTCACACGAATTGTTCATGAATATTCTCATACCTAGTCGTCAAGTACCCTTATTTTTTTACGTCGAGTTTCAAAGTATGGAACATTCGTTTAGGAACGAATTGTTAGCAATTTTAGAATATAAATCTGCAAATTAAGTACTGAACGTTCAGACCAATGTCACTAGTATGTCAAAATCTGTCATTGGTGCGTTCCATTACTCCACAGCCTACGAAGTGCCACTCTGTAGCATATAATATCATCTGTCTCTTTCAGTCACATGAATGATGTGATAATGTGATTTCATATCATGTAATCTAATTGACCAAAATGTATAACTTGAAAGGAAAAATAAAGGATTTACATTTCTCTTAGCCCTATTGAACGATAATATTATTTCTCTACAAGAAAATTAAGCTTTTAGGTACCTAACAAAATGCAAGATTTCACAAGTATATTGAACATTATATTTATTATAAGTGGTGGAGTGTTAACATTCGTGATTCTGTTCATCTTTGCGAAGAGACAGATTACAAGGTTCGCTTTAAGGTCTAGGAGAGGCCCTCACGTTCCTATAGGAACTGATGCAAAAAAAGTAAGTAGATTACAACTAGAATCTAACGGCACCTACGATTTCAAATCATTTTTCTTACATGTTTGCCATGATCTCATGATTGTCTAACTAGCAAATAATTATAAATAATAATGGTTAATTCGAACACACAAAGTATTTAAACATTTGTAGTGATTAGTTTTATCGTAAGAATTTAGTTCATCTAACAAAAGGTACACATGTTTAAATAGACCTGAGGAAAGCACAAAAACTATGCATAATGATTATTTTATAATCTTCAGAAAAACTGAATATCTATCAGCTTCATATTTTATAGCATCTGTGGACAAAGGCCCAGGTTTCCATATAACCATATCTCTATATAAATAAGTGAATTGTTATCTTCTTATCATTCTTTATTTCCAGTGCCTGAAGAAAGAGCTGGAACGTCGCATCGAGGCAGTGCCGCGCATAATGCATGAGCCTCGGTTGCTGAGCACAGAGCCGTCACACTATATCCTGGAACCACAGCAGCCCTACCACTACAGATTCCGAGCTGTTGATGATGTGAAGACTCTAGGTATGAGTTTGTAATTTAATTTAATATTGTAATTTACAAGGCAATCTTATTTGTATTCACCAGCCGTGTATGGATTGGCAAACCCGACTAATGGAGAGGAGTCCTATTGAACATCAGTGGACTTATGACATCTTGTACATGTTTACCATTCACGGGACCACAGAATCCCGGTCATTTGGGAGGTGTACAAGGTGCACCATAGAAATGCACCCTAAGACAGTCCCCAGTTGGGGTGGTTTTTAATCAATAAAAGTCTGGCACTCCCTCTTGCCTCACCAAAAGAAGTTATTGGAATCTCTTCAAAAAAAAGTCTGATGATAATGATAATACCTCTTCTAAACTTTTGTTTGAAATCTAAGTTAAATAACATAACATAACATCACACCTGTTATCTCTGAAGGGGTAAGCAGAGGTGCACATTATGGCACTTAATGCCACTGTACAATGTAACACCCACTTTTCACTATTTATGTTGTAAGTCCCATGTAATAGGGGGTGAGCCTATTGCCATATACCGGGCACCTTTCCAGGCTCTGCTTGAGTTAAATAACATAAAACCATAATCTCTTTTTCAGAAGCTTACTATTACTTTAAACTTAATCTTAATAACAATAATGTTTCAGAGGAAGAGATAGCTCGTCAAGACCCAGGGTTGCGACGGCACCCTAGGGAGTCTCTTAGAGCCTTCCTCCTGTCCTCCCTAGCCGCCCCGCTGGATGGGCGTGGTCAGAAACTGGTGCACCAGTTCTGTGATACCTACGAGTTTGCCAGACATCATCCTGGAGAGTTCGGAGAAGATGAATACACAGCTTACAGTCGGCTACTCTTGAAGTTATTAGATGCGTAAGTGCTTGTATTTTATACATAAGATATCATATTTTAGTACTTGTTTATTAGTAAAAGCAATATTTGCACAGGTTTAGGAATAAGCATTATTAAAAATCTTTGCACAAAATGTATCAGTCTTTCCAATTAAACCTTTTTATAATTTCAGTTGCAAGTACCGGCGTCGTACAGCACCGCAGTTGCGCGATTGCAGCGTGACAGTCGCACAACAATAGCGCTACAGTCGCGCAACAGTTGCCCAACTATTGAAACATCTTGTTATATGACTTCAGAGCCCGTCTGTTGAAGAGTGTCGGTACATGCGTGGTGGTGTCAGGGCGCGGGTCCCCGGTGCGGCGCGCGCGCCTGCTGGACGCGGCCAGACTGCGGCCCTCCGCCCTGGCAGCGCTGCCGAGGCACAATAAGTTGCCTGCCGCGTTACATAAACATTACACAGCGCTTGAGGTTTGTTTCGCTTTGTGTTCATTGGGGGATGGAGTTGAAACATTGCTTTTTTGTCCAGCTTTGTATCTGACCATCATAGCCATTCTTCTATCATTCATTCATTATTCACAGAACATGCCAATAGACTCCAAGTTAGAAGAGGAAGTGATCCGGGTCCCTGTAAAGAGCCCTACGGAGCCGCTGGTGAAGGTTCCGGCGGACGAGACGGCTGTGTGAGCAAGGCTGCAGCGACACCCCGCTCAAACGCTTTAGAGTGGAGTGAACGTTGCGAATTCAAAGATAGTGGAACTGGAAGTGGTTTACAGTGGAAACACTCATAAAGTGGTGATGGAAAATGAATATTTTCAACACAATGAACTTGTAATATTCATGTGGTTTGGTCAGGAGTTATGCCAAAGGTTATGGTTACCAGTTCCGAATGTGCAAGACAAAGTCGGACACCGGTATTCTAATGTTTATGTTTGTGTGTAAATATTTCATTTATACATTATAACTGGGACTTTTAAATAGTTAAGTGTTAGATATTATTAGATAGGTATCAGAAAATAAAGATTCACTACAGAGACAGTAGCTATTGTTTAAGTAAATTGTATCATTATTACTGTCTCTGTAATCTATACCTATAAATATAAAAATGAATCCCTTTTTCCCTTGGTCACGGCATCACGCGTGTATGGCTGGACCGATTTCATTAATTCTTTTTTTGTTGTATTTGTTATTATTAGGAGAAGGTTCTTATGACTTAAAAAAATGCTGAAAATCCTACGGGAACGGGAGAAAACGGGATTGCGCGTACGAAGTCGCGGGCAGAAAGTATGTAGTTCGAAATAAGTTGGTAAAGTGTACTTGGACTGTTATCATTGATGATATTGTTATGAAGTATTATATTAGTGATGAAGCAGCTATAGGCTCGAGTAGATCGGAGGCGTATGCGTCGACGCGCATGTCTACGTTAGGCAAGCGACCTGCTCTTAGTTATCGTACCGCCATGTTTTATAGCATAGGCTTATAGAAGCCTTCCTCGATATAAGTGAAACAAGTAAATTTATTTCTGCAAATAGGCTACAAGGCAGCACTTTTACACGTCAATTTTATCAAGCAAACGATGACGCCGACATTTCCTAACTGACTACTCTGAGAAGAAATGCCGAAACAAACTCAGAGGTCTGTCTCTTTTAAAGTCCAAACAATATGTATAACAGATTATGTGTGAGAACCGTGCCAGTTCTTTCTGTAGTGGGCTTTTGAGGAAAGAACCACAACAGTTTGAGCGGACCTACTCTGAAGGCAGTACGCATGTATCGGTTTACAATCAGCTCAATTAACAGGTGAGGCTGACTGATTCGACGAATAATACCAACCTAAAGAACATTTGGGTGGGTCGCACAAATACTCAAACTGTCAGAATATGGGAATAAGAAATGGCGAGGCAAAATCTCGCACGGTCCTTGCACTACACTTGTAAAAATAAAAAGTAAATGTCAACGCAGAGATAAAAATTGTCACATTAAAATATTACTGTCAAATTGCATATAAAAAAGAATTGTAACTATATGTTACAAACATGTTTAACAATTGACACACAACACAAAAATAATTATTCAATTTGAACCACTACCTGAGTACGCGTATAGACAAAAATAATGGTACGTACACATCTACGTTTGCGCATACGCATCCAATCTACTCGAGCCCTATAAACTTGGTGGGACTTAGTGGTATTAGTAAATCTAACTGATGGCGGATAATATTTAGTGTATGGTATAGTGGATAGCCTAATACATAATGTAAGTGCTTCGGCACGAATGGGCCGGCTAGACCGGAGTGAAACCACGGCCTTACAGAACACCGACGTGAAGCAACGCTTACGTTGTGTCCAATTACCCCCACCTCCCCCCCGCCCTTCCCAATTCCTGAATCCTCAGTTTCCTGTGTCCATGGGCGGCGCACATTGCTTACCATCAGGTGATCCGTCTGCTCGTTTACCGACTTATTCCAAAAACTGTAAATATTCAAATTCTTGTCAAACCAATAGAACAATGATAATACTTGATGAAGAAAGTGTAAATATTGGTAAAGATAGATTTATGTACATACATTATTGCTTACTACATAGATATCATAATGACTTATGTAGACAAGAAGTTAACTTAATACAATCTATACTCTTAATTGATTTTCAACTTTATTGCGAAGGGGTAAGGTTGAAGATCTCGATAGACAGTTGAGGTTTTTAGTAAAAGAATATTCCATACATTTATTATTGCATACAAAGTTTTATAGTCTCTTTAGATGTTATCGATTCATCATTATTTGGTTATAAATATTTATAGTGATTGTTATTTTGCTATTGCAAATCTTGAAATGTAAAATAAAAATAGTAGAGGTAGGTACCTATGAAAATGCCGTTTTGTATGAAAAATATTAAATTATTTTTTTTCATGTATTTTTTATTTGTATTTAATCGATGTAATCACCCATGCAATCAATGCATCGTTGCCAACGCAGTGGCAGATTATTGGTGCCTTTCTTAAAGAAATCAGCTGAACGGGAGGCAATAATTTCTTCAAGGCATTCTGTACTGTCTCTCTGGTATATACTGATTTTTTTCCGGCCAAGAAGTTATCCAAATTCTGGAAAAAGTAGTAGTCTGCAGGCACTAGGTCTGGTGGGTAGGACGGAAGATGGAGAGCCTACAACCCCAGTTCTTGCAACTTAGGAGGCCGTCTGCTGTACAATATGAGGTCGCGGATTCTCGTACAGGAGCAGCGGAGACGAGCGATTGACCAATACTGGTTGAAGATGTGCCAGCTTCTCCATCATTGTTTTTTTTTAATAAATAATAAATTGAATTTCTCCACAGACTCGTGTCCGTGCCCTTGTGATATTACAAGTACCTACATAATTTTCATAGTCAAATATTTTTTTTTATAAATATCTTACATGCTATGCCTACCACTATTACTACACACAATACTTTATGTTGTTACCTAATTATTATAGTCTTATTATCTTAGACTAACCCTACTGAATCAGCCCACCAGCACGATGAGCGAGCCGACCTGTTCCAGCAGAAGACACCCGTTCACGGGTATGACGTGTAGGCCAGCAATCGGTCCGATCAACCATTTCGTAGGGAACGGAATGACCCAGTCCATCATTGTGTTCAGTTCTTCATAGTACACACCCCGTTTGATAAGAAGCTGTGATGAATCACATCGGTGCTAGACCACTAAACAATAACTATCACTTTTCTAGGGGTAAGTTTTCGTTTAGGGCATTGTTTAGGTGCTGAACCAGGATCCGAGCAACTTGCCGAACGCTTGGGGCTACCCCGTTTCTGCAGTGCATCTGGCATGTTCGCTCAAGCACACGTTGATGGCTTCCATAGTTCCATACCATCATCATGCGAAAATGTATTCCCAATAGTAGGCTTGTAACGAAATAGGTACTAACATGGTTTTTAAGAGTTTTCTTACTAATCCCTATGGATGTATCACTTGTCCGAATTATACATTACTTTATTTATTGTACCTAATCTAAATTGACTGCCTCGTTGGCCGAGTGGTTGCAAGGGCTACTGCCAGGCAAGGGGTCTCGGGTTCGATTCCCGGGTCTGACAAAGTATGGGTTTTTAAAAATCTCAGCAGTAGCACGGAGCCTGGAAATGTGCCCGGTATATGGCAATAGGCTCACCCCCTATTACATGGGACTCATAACATAAATAGTAAAATGTGGGTGTTACATTGTACATTGGCATTAAGTGCAGAAATGTGCACCTCTGCCTACCCTTTCGGGTATAAAAAGGCGTGATGTTATGTCATGTTATGTATAATCTAAATTATAGCTAAACAGATAATAATTAGCTAGCCATGATCCTGGAAATGTGTAAAAAATTTGTTATCTTTCTGGTAATAATAAAGTTATTTTTTTTATAATTATCTAAACTATTATTGAAAAATAATAATTTACAAATCTGCTGGCTGAGCAATGACAATAAGGTAAATGCTACCAAGTACCAATACCACTGATTAGTAAGTAGGTACATGAACAAATACATCAGCAAATTAACCCCGTCGACCGATCCAATGGTCGACCGGTCGATTGATCGACATTGGTATTGTGAAATTTCGTACTCTTGAGTTACAACACTAGCGCCCATTGCATCCGTATTGCGCGGACGTTGAATGAACTAAATAGTATTGAGTTTGGCTTTATATTCCGTACTCGGAATGCTATAAACTGCTACGATAGGGGTTGTATCGTTTTGACATTGAATAATTATTGAGAAATTGAAATTGCATCGACATTGAGATTCATTTCAAGAGTAAGCACACTGCTAGGTTTGGGGACAGGATTCTGTTTCGTCGTGTAAGTGAGGTTACCGGAAGCCCTCCCCTTCCCCAATCTCCCCAATCCTGAATCCCCAACGATCCTCAAACTCCTAATCCCCAAAAGGCCGGTAACGCATTTGTAACGCCTCTGGTGTTCCAGGTGTCCATGGGCGACGCCGATTGCATATCATCAGGTGATCCGTCTGCTAGTTTACCGGCTTATGTCATTAAGAAAAATATATTTAAGTAGATTCAGTGAATTTTCCTGTATTTGGTAAGTGTTGATCTAATTCGCTTTGACTACTAACTGTAGTAATAGCTTGGTGATATTCACGGTCATTTAGGTTCATGTGACTTGCAGGTTCTTAGTATTTAAATTAAATTTCAAATTTTCATATTTTCAAATTCAAATTTTTATTACATCATTTATGTGTACAATACATGTTTGTACCTACACATGGTGGTACATAATTAGTATTTATTAGTAGTAATTTACGTTTGTTTTGTATGACAAAGTGTTCTCTCCTTCTTCTTATTTTCCTTCTTAATTTTGTAAACTTTGATTCTGTTTATAACCACGCACACATTCGCATTAAGCGCTGGTACTTCCGCTTCCTGCTTGAGCGGTGATTATGGTCAGGAGACGAGACACTGGACCGATTATGTGTGTGGTTCCAGGTTCCAAAGTCCGGGCTTAACGCCTGTGGATCGACGCTAACGTCACGTCACAGAAGCACGCACACCGCCACGTCGACTCCACAATTTCCAGGTCCATTCCACCAGCAGTGCGTTTCCTGGTTATCCGTCTACCCTTGCTAGAAAGCTAGATAGCTAGTACTACCATCACGCTACCCTCCGCAGAAACATAATTCAATTGACGGGCATTGTACCTACTTACGATCTATATATTTTTTCAATAAATTATTGTTATGGTGGTAGTAGTTATTTACTATTAACGGCCTATAACACAATAACCGTCAGAATAAACATCGTAACCGTCAGAATAAACAATATCAATACCATGAGGGTCCACAGCCTCTACAAAAGACAGGCTTGCCAGTTTCCATAATCTCTTGACAGGCTGGTTGGAGATCGCAGTTTTTAAAAGTTCAGGTGAAATGTTGGTTCTCCAAGTGGTTCAGAGCGTTTACAACAAAGTTGTTCTGAATAAAGCGCTCTGCAACAACAAATCAATACCGAAACGCAAAATAGGGAACGAGATTCACGAAACAGCATGTGGGCAATAACATCAGCTATGCCTATGTACCTACATCCTTTAGAAGAAGTATGATCGGATCCGGGAGGGTGCCCTGCTGACCAGGTCAAGGCAGGCACCATCCGCCCTGACAACTCGGGGCTGCGCACGGTGGTGGTGAGCTGCCCCGTCACAGCGGCCAAAACATTAAAGGAGGGCAAAAGGCTCTTGGTGGGATGGGTCCCGGCGCAGGTCAAGCTACTCGAGACCCGGGCTCAGAGGTGCTACCGCTGTCACGTGGTCACCTGAGTCGCCGGTACCCTGTCTCTTGAGGCTACTCAAAGAGGCCGGGGTTGTGTCGCAGCACGATTCGGAGAGCTCGCTGTGGTGGGCGTGTACCTCTTTCCGAACCGAACTCTCGCCGAGTTCCACAACTCCTTGAGGGAGTTGGTCACCGTCGTCGTCGGGTTCCGTTCCCTCCCCGTGCTCGTCATCGGGGACTTCAATGCCAAAAACTTGGCTTGGGGTTCCCGGTTCACCGACGTCCGGGGTAGGATGGTGGAAGACTGGGCCTAGTCGTCCTGAACCGGGGTTCTGTCCACACGTGCGTGCGGATGCAGGGCGAGTCGGTGGTGGACATTTCGTTCGCCAGCCCTGCTCTGTCACCACGTATCGTTGTCTGGCGCGTCATGAAGATGGTGGAGACGTACTCTGACAATCGGTATATCCAGTTCGTCGTCAAAGTCAATGTCAAAGTCAAAGCATTTATTTCAATTAAACCATAATTAATTAAAATAATTAATAGTATGTCAGTCAGTCCGTCAGTGAAGTTAGGTGAAGCTAGGTGCTCATTCCAAAATGTAGATTCGAATGGAGAAGAACGAGCAAGAAACTATACTAACTGTACGCATATGCGTGGGAACAATCAAAGAGTATAATAAGTCTAGGGGTTGGAACAATGCAAAGACACGCTTGACGCATTATAGGTACTAATTACAAACCTTACGAAAATAATAAAAATATGTTATAGTTTAACATGGTGCTCACATATGCATACTGACAATCCATAAAAATAGTGCTTCTATACCAGAAAAAGGAAACTCTTTGTTTCAATAAAGAAAGAAATGCTCGATGCCATAAGGAAACTAGATGGTCTACATTAGAATGAAAGTATTAAATTCACAAACTATAATCAGTGCTGTGAAATCATCATTGACATTATATTGTTTGAGATTATAACGGTGGATATTATTACAATTAAAGTGGACTAAACATTGATGTACTTTAACCATTTTTGAACTTTGAAAGTGACTGAGACCTCTGAGTTTGTTTCGGCGTTTCTTCTCAGAATAGTCCGTAAGAAATGCCGGCTTAATTAAAATGTGAACAAGTAAAGGTGCATTGTCGAAAGTAAACTTTCTTTTATTTACGAAGATTTAATTGTTTTATTGCTGGATAAACATATCTCTACCGATATATATGACGAAGAGGGTTCTCGCTCAACATCGCCCACACCATCCTCCGACAAATTAGTTTGGCTATCAAACTATACAGCTACTATTTAATGACCCGTGTTGAGCTCTCGTTCACTTTGTCGAGTACCCACAAAGAAACAGTTGCCTCCCACTGGCCACAGGACACAAAACTCGCAGCATACTTTACGAGTGAAATGATTAGTTTTTTTTTGTTTATAAAGAAAGAAAAGAACAAAGAGAAAAAAGTAATTTATTCGCAACCAGACATGGACCACCGAATAACACACGAAATAACATTAAAAAATAAAAAAAAAAACAATAAGAACATAAAATACCATAAATAAAAACAGCAGTAAAAAACAACAATGAAGGCAAAAAAAAACATAAAAAAAGCAAAATAAAAGAACAAGGTGGCAGCATGTCCACGACGAAAGGGCTCGCCAACTCAGTGTAAGCTGGGCACAGTAAGTACCCAACACTGATTTTCAGTTGGCACCCTTGCAGTGACACACGGACGGAAGCAACGCAAAAGAATATCAAGGAAAATAAAACACATGTTAAAAAATATTATAATAATAAAAGAATATGAAGAAATTTAAAAACAGACCTCTAGGTATGCACATTGTGCGATAAATAAATAAATAAATAAAAATAAGTATGCATACATAAACTAGTGTAACGTGTACCGTCACCGAAGGAAAAAAAAATAAATTTATAAATAGTTTATATCACGACAATAAAATTAGTGTGGGTATGTATGAGGTCGTGAAGCTATCGCGCAGCCCGACACTCATTGCGAGAAGCGAGGGACAGGTCGGCACTTCGCCAGCACTGCGGCAACAAAGGGCTCAAGAGTGAGTTTGCGAGATATCCTAGTATCCTACATTACAATATAATTTCTTCTTCTTCTTCTTTTCTTTCAATAATAGTGAAAGTAATAAATCTATATATATAAAAGAAAGTCGTGTTAGTTACACCACTTATAACTCAAGATCGGCTATATCGATTTGGATGAAAATTCGTGAGGATGTAGCTTAGAACCAGGAGACGAACATAGGATACTTTTTACCCAATACTTATTTTTTACTTTTAACCGAAAATCAAGAACGGGTACGGGTAATATCGGGATTGTGCGTATGAAGTCGCGGGCAGAAGCTAGTAATTATATATACGTACAAAATCAATATGAAAATTTGAAAACATAATTTGTGTACCCAGTTATACAAATAAAATAATAAGAAAGATAAGTGTCAGATTAAATAAACGAAATGTCAATATTTATAGATTCACTCTCAATTTGAGAGTTAATAATAAACTCCTTTAGTTTTCCTTTAAAAGTGAATGTGCTTTGCAGGTTCCTGATTGCCAGTATGTTGATCCAGCACTTAGAAGCTGCATATCGGAAACTACCTCGAAAAGCACCCGATTTTTGTTGCGGTATAGCCAGTTGTTGTGCACACCGCCCTCCCTCCCACCCTCCCGCTGCCGGTGAGCATTCACCCACGAGAGCTTCGAGTAGAGGTATACTGGACACTTGTACTTAATCACACCAAAGAGGAGACATGCCAGGTGGAGCTTACGTCGGGACTTCATTTTTAGAAGATTGTAGAGATGTGGGACTCAAACCTAAGACCTTGATACATTATCAGACCCAAATTTCGCGCTTCATCGACACGCTCAATGATTTGACCCCTCAAAAGAACGTTAATATTACTAGAAGGAGTCTTGTAAAGTTCCGAAAAGCATGAATTTTGTTTTGAATGGATTTAAGATGAGGCAGTTACTGCTTGACCAGTTCACTATCCTGTCGAGGTTCTCATTAATTGAATTCATAGCACTCGCGTATTCTTTCGGTCTAAAGGACAAGTACATCTGAATATCGTCAGCGTAGATATGATATTTGCATGTTTTTATTATATTGATGATGTCAGCACAATATAATAGGAATAGGGTAGGCCCTAAAATGGATCCTTGGGGAACTCCCTTCGTCACAGGTTTCACCTCAGAAGCCAAGAAAGATCCATTAGCATCGCGAAATTCAACCAGCTGCGCACGGTTGCTGAGGTAACTATCGAACCATTAATTGTTGGTATGTCAAATCCGTAGTACGCCATTGATAGCATCAAATGCCCTCGAGAAATCCAGCTGGACCAATATAGTGCACAAACCCTGATCCTGCGCAGCCAGTATATTGTCGGTGACGTCCGACAAAGCCGTGGCAGTACTACGCCCTCTCCTAAAACCAGATTGCGCATGAACACTGCTGTCCTCTATAAATTTGGAGACCTGTTCGTTTACCACCCTTTCCAAGACCTTAGACATTAAGGGTAGAATGCTAATAGGCCTTAAATCTTAAAGATTGCCAGGATTGTTAACTTTGGGTAGAGGACGTACCTTAGCTAAATTCCAGGCGCCCGAAAAAGTTGCCGTTACTATAGAGGCATTTGTAATACGCATGTAAGACGATAAGATTATAGTGATTATATAGGTAACAACATCAAGTACTTTGTGTAATGATATTAGTGGTTAGCGTAGCAAGGTAAGATCTTTATAAACATTTATTTGACCACGAAAATAATGCAACTAATTATATATGACAAGGGCATGGACACCAGTGCGTGGAGAAATACAATTTGTTTAATAAAAAAATTATAATATATATTCTGTTCTAATCTATGTATTCTTCCAACCACACAGCTTCTATAGAAATATCTTTACAACTGTTTACAACACGCTTCTAGACCTTCAGAATAGAACCGCGTCTGTCCTTTGGTGGGTAAAGCGCGGATTCTTCTCACTAGATCTTCATACACAGCTTTTTCATGATTTTTATAAATATTTTCAATGTCCAACTCTGCGAATAAGTCTTTGATTCGTTGTACATTCTCAGGGTTGTCGATGCCGTAGTTTTCGGCGAAGAATTTTCGTTGTGCGTCAGTGCATCGCTCCAGGGCTGTCACCGCGAGCCACGTCAACTTGCCTTCCTGTATGTCCGTGCCGGCCTTCCCTGTTTTGATTTCGTCGAAGTATATGTCTTTGTAGTCGTTCTGTAAGGCAAAAAATTATGTTCAGATGAGTAAACTACTAAAAGAATCTTTATTGGATTTTCGACTTTATACATAAACTAGCTGTTGCCCGCGACTTCGTCCGCGTAGAATAATGACTTCTGGCAGAATTTAGGCTTTTGAAATAGTTTTTATCAAGGGATATTCTACGGTAATGGATGTCGTCAGAATTGATTCAGTCCCGTAGATGATAGCGTGATAATATGTAGCCTATATGTTTACCAGACTTGTTAGTAATATTCATGCAAAATTTGAAATAGTAGTGCAGTACTTTTTGAGATCATCACGGCCATACATACAGACAAACAGA